AATTACATATATTATTAAATTTTTAATTTAGAGAGATCTACTTATGAAATTTTAAACATGGATCATTTATGTGAATAGCATTCATGGGGGACTGGATTAGGAATGATTGAGTTCCAGTCATTCACTAATCACATCATTCAGCATGCTTAATTTTCTTTTATCATACATTACATGTATAGGATACACGAGCACTTAGTTTAGGCTCTCCTAATTCTAAGGACATGGTGTGTTTACTTCTTTTATATATCCCATGCACTGTTACCTTGAGGGTTAGCATAAAACTTCATTTTAAATCCCTACAACGTAGTGACACCCTAAGGGCAACAATTAAGGACCCGTCTAGTAAACTTAGAAAAATTTTAGGAGCTAGGATAGATCCCTGATTGACATGAAAACTCTAAAATTTAAACTTAGTAACTTCATAAATATCTCAAAATTTTCTAGGAATTTTAAGACCCCTTAATTAACTAACCCTAATTTACGTGATAAATAGAGCCCAATAATTTTTAAAAATTACAATAAATCCATTTTTAACTCAAAAATTACCCATAATAGCTTGAATTGTTTAAAATTTAGTACTTAACCTGATATAAATAGGGCTCCTTAGTTTTACCTTAGTTTGACCCTTAATTTCAACTTTAACCAAAATAACCTTTTTGCCCCTAATAAATTATTAAAAATTATTAAAAAATATTAAAAATTCCAAATTTTTTCCAAACACTTGGTAACATCTCCTTAAGTTATTTCTAAATTTTGGGGGTGATTCCAATTAGTTTGGTGCTGATTTGGATCAAAACCATAAAATTAGTCCTTTAATTAGATAATTTAGATAATTCCATAAAGAGCCAAACTTTAGAAATTCATAACTAATTGTAAAAAATTCCAAATTAGGAAAACTCACTTGCATTCAACTCAAATTATAGTCTAGTATTTATAAAAAATATTATGATTCTAGAAACTAACATAAATCCAAAAGTCAAATTTCTGGTCAACCTCAGCCTATAGTCTAAGGCCCAAAATTTGGAAAATTCATCACTTTGCCTAGGAAACTCCTAATCCAGCAAACTACCTGTCTAAATACTCATCCTAAGTCCTAGTATTT